ATACCTGGCAAAGGTACATACGGGGGTATTGCTGTACTCAGCCGACATAGCTGAGCAACATATGAAGTATTATACAGTCGTAGCACACATAAGGTTTGCAAAATATACTGTGCAAACTCACTTTGTATGTCAAAAAGGCAGAAAAAACGCTTATTACCACTACATCTGGTACAAGCTAGCGGAAAAATGATCCCACGCTAAGGTTCAAACTATACCTTTTGAAACACCCTGGGGTGTCTACTTTAAGAAATGGTAGGCCTTTGTGGGGTAGATTGAATTTAAAACCTGCGAAGATGCTTGGAAATTGCACATAGGCCCAGCGTCAAAATTCAAAGTTTGGTAAAAACGGATATGGCTTGGTCTCCTATATGGCACTGTAGCTTCACAAAATAGTGACAAAGACATTCATTGGGGGTGTATTTTACTCAAAAGACTTAGCTGAGCATAATTTGGGAGGTTTGAACTTAGTGGCACATATGAAATATACAAAACGCCCAGCAAAAATGCAATCCGTATGTAAAAAATGCACAAAATAATTTTTTTACCACATACTTTGGCATATATTGGTGAAAAAATGGGGGTATGTTAAGGCACAATATGCACCTTATGAGATACCCTGGAGTGTCTACTTTTACAAATGGTAGGCCTTTGTGGGGGTTTTTTGAACAGTCAAACTGTTATAATACCCCAAATGGAAGCCAAGGCTCATTAAATCCATCTCTCAAAATTCTACTGTGAATACTGAAAAGGACAGGTCTCCTATATGGCACTGTAGCTTCACGAAATAGTGCCAAAGACATTCATATGGGGTGTCATTTTACTCAGAAGACTTAGCTGAGCATAATTTGGGGGGTTTGAACTTAGTGGCATATATGAAATATACAAAACGCCCAGCAAAAATGCAATCCGTATGTAAAAAATGCACAAAATTATTTTTTACCACATACTTTGGCATATATTGGTGAAAAAATGGGGCATGTTAAGGCACAATATGCACCTTATAAGATACCCTGGAGTGTCTACTTTTACAAATGGTAGGCCTTTGTGGGGGGTTTTTGAACAGTCAAACTGTTATAATACCCCAAAATGGAAGCTAAGGCTCATTAAATCCATCTCTCAAAATTCTACTGTGAATACTGTAAAGGACAGGTCTCCTATATGGCACTGTAACTTCACGAAATAGTGCCAAAGACATACAATGGGGGTGTCATTTTACTCAGCAGATGTAACTGAACACAAAATAAAAACTTTGTACAGGAATAGCACACACCAACTTTACAAAATATACACGAGAATTTCTCTGTTATAAGTTTGTGTGCCAAAAACCAAAAAGAACACAATTTTACTCCAATATTTAGCAGAGGTTGGCGGTAATATGGCTACGTAGAAAGTGTCAAAATAACCTTAGGTAAATAGCCCGTGATGTCTACTTTATATAAATATATACTTTTGTGTGGCAATTTTGTTTTCTTTTATGGCTATTAAGCTTACAAGACAAACATACCAAATTCTAAAATCGCTCCACATTAAAATTTTATTTTACTCCTTGTGCTTTGTGACCTGTAACTACCAAAAAAACTTAAAATCCCAGACACATTATATATTCTGTAAATCAGAACAAATAAATAAATTTATTTTTAATTACTTTCCTTAACCTGCACTAATTATGCACACATTATTATTGCAAAAACTGTAAAAAAAAACCAATATTTTTCATTTTTTTTGCATTGTTCTGTATTTTTTTTATAATAAGTAAGCATTTATATATATATATATGTTATATCAAATTAAAGCCCTTTCTGTCCTTTAAAAAATAGTATATAATATGTGTCGGTGCAATAAATGAGAGAGATGCAAATTGCAGTTGAACGCAAACAGCAAGAAAATGCAAAAATTGCTTGTGTCATTAAGCGTAAGTCAAGCTTCTGAAGCTGTGTCCTTAAGGGGTTAAGGGTTTAAACTGGTGTTCTAAAGGGGGGGGGGAGAACAAAACAGTCGAACTAAGTCCATAAAACAGGGGTTTTCTTCACACTCTGCATCCGAAGTGCATAGCAAAACTGCAGATCCTTTGTCAGAGCATTTAAAGGGCCAGAACCAGTCTAATAAAATCCACTATGCCCAAATAATGTATTTAAAGGGCAAAATCTTCCAGGGGCCATAGTCATATGGCAAGAGGCTGGTAATTAGTCCTTTCCAGGCACAAGTGGCCAAGGGCACTTCGTCACAGCTTCTATCACTAAATTTAATTCCCAGGCCAAAAAAAATCGAAAACGTTTTAAAAAACATTGGCATAATAATCTCAAAAATCCATCAGCACCAAGTCTACTACATGACAATAAACCCAATAAATTTTTTTTTTAATTTAACAGGTTTTTATAGTTGTGGAAAGTGCTCCACTTGTAAATTTCAACACGTGATTTCAGAGGTACATACACCAATAAAAAATATGAAATAAAGAAGTTCATCCAATGTTCCACAACTTTTATTATATATCTATTACAATGCAGATGTAATGCACAGTACTATACGGAAACTTCATACTAGGTTGGCAGAATATTTCTATAAAATACGAACCAAAAAAACAGAACATAGTGTCCCAAAACACTGTAATTCCTGCCCACATTTTACGTGGGATAATTTTATAACAATTGTGATAGATAAAGTAGATACGACTTGGAGAGGAGGAAATAGATCTATGCAGTTAAATAAAAAAGAAGCACAATGGATCTATAATCTCAAGACCCTAAAAGAGGGCCTTAATATTGATATTGATCTTATGGGATTAATTTAAAACGGCATTATTCATAATATATATATATATATATATATATATATATATATATATATATATATATACAAAATGAATATGTAAGATCAGTCTAAAGCATTTTATTGATTAACGTGAGATCGATTAGCTATACTCTCTTTATATGAGATTTATCCATTCATCCACTCCTGTTTTGGGTTTTCTGTATGTTTTTTATATGTGTTTTTTTTCTATATGTTTTGGTTTGGGACACCTTTCACCTTTTTAGTTCACTTTTTTTATTTCTGTGATTTATATTTCTCTTATGGTTACATATATACCATTTCAAATGTCCTAATTCTTGTTTCTAGTTTCAGAACATTCTGAGGACTTTTGCAACTCATGGAGTTATATATTTGTTCAATTTTATTTATATTTATATTTAATTTTAAATGTTATTATAGTTTGAGGGAATTTTTTTTTGTATTAAATTGGAACCTATATCTGTATTCTCGGATGACTGAGTATTTATTGCTTTTTATATTGAAGGTTTTTATGTTGGAATTTTCTACTAGAGAATATATTCCTTATATTACAACATATTCTGGTATTGCAATGTATTATAATATACAAAAATTTAAAAGGTTTCTAACTATGATTGAGACTCATATATATTTTTATATATTTTTCATAAAATTTTCCACATATTTCTCATTTATTATTACTATTTTTTATCATTATCCATATATATTATTATTATTATTTTTTAATTTTTTTTGATTCTTTATATATCAGACTATATTTGTAGGAATTGATCCCAATCATATGTAGATACTTCCCCCTTTTTTCTGTGTTCGTGGTGCCTTTATTTTTGCCCTTTGGTTATGCTCTATATCGATTGGAATGCATAGAAGCAGCCACCAGACAGGAAGCGGAAATGACACCAAATCGGCATATGCGTCTCAGCGTGACACGCACGCGACACAAATAGTCTTCAGGTGGAATCTATTTCTCCATTCCAGCTGCATATTTAAACGAAGGTTGACAATAGCAGAAGAATATCCCTGAGTAAGTCCATAGGACGAAACGCGTAGGATACAGACGCTGGATACTTACATTGCTGCATCATATGTGTTCCACTTGGAAGTGGATACATGCTTTTTTATCCTTTTTTATTGTACGTGCATTTTTAATACATTTCTTATATTTTAAGTTCTCTCTGCACTATCTTCTGGTTTATTTTTACTCCTAAGTGCAAGAAGATTGCTTTAATACTATAATGAAGTATAAGGATGATGTGCCTGACACTCATTTACCACTTGTGAGTTTTCCTCATTAACATTGCGTGTCTCTCTTTCTATATATATACATTGATCACACTATGTGCAGTTTGTATATTTTACAGACATTGCAAATTATGTTCCCATACTATAAGGTTGCATTTTTGCTATTTTACACCTTAGGAAGTCAATATCCATTCCTGTGCATTCCTACTTATTTGTATGTTTCACTTTGTTCTGGTGTTCCAGAGGGAACACTATTTAGTAGGTTTGCCATATAGTTGCTTTTAGTGGTTGTCTTTTCTGTTTTATTATTGCATTAAGCCATATATCTAACTGGATGCCAATGTAGGGACTAACAGAGGGGGGAAGTGTGGGAGGTGCAGGCAGACATGAAAATGATAAAAGAAAACGAAAAAAAAGGCTGCGCTGTATAAGTAAAAAATATAATTTATAAAATATAAAATAAAATATAAAGTCTTAGCTGGAATAAGATCTTCTTTAGATCAAATAGTCCGTAAAGTGCTAGTACTGCTCGTTTTTACATCCTATATACAATATAGAGTTAAGTTCACTATAATTATACTATTTATACCATTTATCATCTGTATTTTGACATGATTATTGTTTTTATATTCCTTGCATTTCTGTTGGCTGACAGAAGTTTTGGCGCCAATTTTAATCAATTGTATCCTTATTTAAAGGAACCTTGCCAGGTATTATGTAACATTCCATATTGAAGAAGCCTTATTGGTGAAACGCATTTGTGGATATTATATTTGTATTAAAGATTTTATTGGTCACTTATTTTATTGTATTAAAGATTTTTTTGGTCACTTTTTTACTTGTACCAATCATCTTTTTTATATATATTTTATACACATATTTTTATTTATTATTTTTAGCTGGCATTTTATCCTTCAGACTCCAAGTAATCCCGAGGTGGGGATCAAACCACCGACGCTGTCTTCAAGGAGCAGTTTGTCTGCTCCACCCTTGTGAGTATCTTTCTATCTTATTTTATTAATTTTATTTAATTCAGTGAGCACTACTGGTTGTTTTTCCTCTCTATCTTGTTTGAGTGCAATACCTATCCGTGGAAGAAGAATCCTGCACCATATCCTGCAAGCGGGGATCATACCACTACACGCCTTTTACACTAAGAGCTAGTCACAGCTCTACTACATGTGAGTGCAATACCTTTCTTCTTACCATCTCCTGTACCACATTGGACGTATTACACTATTTGGTTCTTGTATCTGCTTTTCTCGTTTCATGTTATTGAATCCTTTTGAAGAAAAACAGCAAGGATACTCCCTTTGGACAAGCACCTTTCAATACTAGCACTTTACGGACTATTTGATCTAAAGAAGATCTTATTCCAGCTAAGACTTTATATTTTATTTTATATTTTATAAATTATATTTTGTACTTATACAGCACAGCCTTTTTTTTCATTTTCTTTTATCCTTATTATCTCTGAGGGTTCTCTGAGGGATTCCCTCTAAAGCTTGCAGCTTTACTGTTATTTAGCGCTTACTCTTTTTCTCTTTTAGACATGAAAATGAGTCTCACCGCCGCATTCATTATAGATTGCAGCGGTGCAATCTGGGAACATGTAAGACCACTGAGAAGGGGGTTGCAGTAGTCAAGGCCAGAAAGAAAAATGTAATTGACCAGCACCGTAGCTGCGTCTGGTGTTAAATAAGGGCGGATGCAAGCTATGTTTTTGAGATGGAAGCAGCAGGTTGGCGATCAACTGGACATAAGGGGTGAAGGAAAGGTCAGAGTCAAAGAGAACACCTAGGCAGCAAGCCTGTGAGGTAGAGGTAATGGTGGCATTGTTTACTTGGAGGGAGACAGACACGGGAGTAGCAACACTTGAGGGCGGGAAGACCAGAAGTTGTGTTTTGGATAGGTTGAGTTTAAGGAAGTGAGCAGCCATCCAATTGGAAATCAGGGAGAGGCAGTCTGAGACACGAGTCAAGATAGGTGGAGAGAGATCAGGAGAGGACAGGTAGAGTTGTGTGTCATCTGCATATAAATGATAATGGAAGCCAAAGGAGCTGATGAGTTTTCTAAAGAAGGTAGTATAGATAGAGAATAGTAGGGGACCAAGAACAGAACCTTGAGGAATGCCAGAGAGGGGTTGGGGAGAAAAGGTATAGCCAGAGAAAGAAACACTGAAAAAGCGCTGGGAGAGGTAGGAGGAGCTCCAGGAGAGAGCAGTATCCCGTAGACCGGGATTATGGAGAATAAGAAGAAGCTGTTGATGATCAACGGTGTCAAAAGAAGGAGAAAGATCAAGGAGAATTAGGATAGAGTAATGTCTGCAAGATTTAGCAGCGATTAAATAGTTGGATACTTTGGTCACAGCTGTTTCAACAGAGTGATGAGCACGGAATCCAGAGGGTCAAGCAGAGAGTTGGATTCGAGGAAGTCTGTCAATCTCGCATACACAACTCTCTCAAGGTTCTTGGAGTCAAATGGCAGTAGCGATATAGGGCGGTAGTTGGATGGGTAGTTGGGGTCAAGGTTGGGCTTTTTCAGAATTGGCGTTAGGGTTGCATGCTTGAAGGGTGAAGGAAATGTGCTGGAGGAAAGTGAGAGATTGAAAATGTTAGTGAGAGGAAGAGCAAGAGAGGGAAACAGAGTGCGTATGAGATATGAGGAAATAGGATCGAGGGAATAGGTGGTGGGGTGGGGTGGGCAGGGGGGACGTGAGGACTTGAGCAAAGCAGAAAACTCTTCCGTTGTAGTAGGTGCAAATGAGCATAGAACAGCAGAGGGAGTGGGGTTGGGTGATGTATTGAAAGGGGAAGGAGAGAGGTTAGAGATCTCTTCCCTGATTGTAGAAATCTTCTCAGTGAAGTGAGGAAGTGAGTTGCAAAGTTTGAGGCAGACAGGGTGGTAGGAGGAGGGGAAGGAACAGGATGAAGGAGAGCATTAAAAGTGTGAAATAGTAATTTGGGTTCGCGCGAGAGTGTGGTTATGAGGGTATTGAAGTAATTTACTTTTGCAGAGGAAAGAGCCATAGTGTAGGTGCGCAACATCAATTTATAGTGGAGGAAGTCAGGTGCAGAGTGAGACTTTCTCCAACAGCGTTTAGCAGTTCTGGAACATTTTTGGAGATATTGGCTCAGGTTGGTGTGCTAGGGTTGTAATTGGGAATGCTTGCTGCGTTTAAATGTAGGAGGTACCATGATGTCTAGTTGAGAGGAGAGAGCGGAGTTGTAGAGTAAGGTTGCAGAGTTAGGACAAGTGAGATTTGAGATGGGTAAAAGGAGAGTTTGATGTTTGGTGGAGAAATGCTGGAGATCAAGGCAGTGGTTGTCAGATAAAGGAAATGGAACAGTGGAGAGATTAGAGATGGTACAGAGATTGTTGAAGATGAGGTCAAGAGTATTTTCTGCTTTATGAGTTGCTGAAGTAGACTACTGTGTGAGGCCGAAGGAGGAGGTTACAGAGAGTAGACGGAGGCATCAGGGCAGTTGAGGTTGTTGATTGGGATGTTAAAGTCCCCAAGTATGAGGGAAGGAGTGCTAGAGGAGAGAAAGTGGGGTAGCCAGGAAGAAAAGTGTTCAATGAATAGCCTAGGATGACCGGGGGGGCGATAGATATGGCAATTCTTATATAATCCAAGAGTTCCATAAGTCTCGATAAGAGGTATGCTTTCCATTGTATATTGATAATATTGATAATCCAGTTGATTAATTATCTCTTGCCATAGTGCAGGTTGACCTGTTTTCCAGTTAAGAGCTATAGATATCTTAAATGCATTTAGAATTTGTATAATTAAATATTTAGATTTTTTTCCCCATTATAGGAAAATCTAGGTTAAATAGAAAGAGGTAGGGTGTAACTGATATGGTGTCTGGAATAAGATCTGAGATCAAGGAGGATATATGTTCTTTAATATATTTTAATATACCACAACTATACTATATATGAAGTATGGTTCCATTCTCTTTTTTACATCTACAGCATAATGGTAAGTATGCTTCATATATTTTATACAACTTAGAAGGAACCATGTACCATCTATATATAATCTTTAGATGCAGTTTCAACAAAGAAATACAGTGGATTTTTATTTTTTTAAAATTGTATAGTAGTTTAATACTATTAGTAAGGGGTATATAAAATATTAAGATCTTTTTCCCATTTGACAATAGAAGGTATTTTTTGAATATCTGACTCTCTTTCCAACAACTTGGAAGATCCTATTTTTTCTATATAATTGTATATAGAGTGTTCAAATATATTTTTTTAATTTAAATAATGTTTCATTGTTAGATAGCGGAAAGTATCTCTATGATATATTATATTTATTTTGTAGTCTAGGAAACCATTGTTTTGTTTCAAAGATTTTAATACCCAGTTGCCTCCAGTTATACATATTTATATCTTCCACATTATATTGAAGGGTTTCTATGGGGGTGTATACAAGAATGGATTCTGAAAGATTTAGTTTAATTTTCAACATTTTTAAAGTGTCAAACATATTGGCAATCAGTTCATTAGAGACAATTCGATTCGATTTTTTATTGAGTTGATATTTTCCGCAATAATAATAGGTGCATTCAACTGTCATATTGGAATCTGGTAGATTGTACAAGGATGTGTAGGAGTCTACAAAGGCCTGGGAGATGTCTTTAGGATTTAAGAAACATTTGTCACCTACTATTATCTTTTTTATTGCTTTATCTTTTTAGAATGTTTTTTTAATTTTTTCGAGAGAACTTTACTGACTTTATTATTGTTATGGTACCATTTTTGTTTAAGGAATAAAATGGTTTTATTAACATTTTCATAGATCTTTAAATTGATAGCTTGTTTCAATGTTATAATTTCTTAAGTAGTATCCTGAGTGGTGGCCTGGACGAGAACGCGAGCGGTCGCATGTTCTAAAAGCTCCGCGGCAGTAAAGGCCCTCACACGATAATTAGACCCAAACCGGACAAAATAAATGGGCACCAGGCGCTACCGACCATGTCCCACGCCAAGGCAAAGCGGGCGACCGAGAAACAGGACAAACTCCTGTTTTTCAACGCCAAACAAGGGCACACGCGGGGAGCGGCAACACAGGAAGACCTCCAAGATGGCGCCGAAACGGAAGGAGCCCAAGGAATGCTTACAGAGGCCTCGGGCCGCGTCCTCACTACGGAGGGGATGCAGGCTATGCTCGACGATATGGAGGCGAAACTGCAAACAACACTGCAACGCTCATTCACAGACCTCCGTGCAGACATCCACAAATTGGGGTCACGCACCTCAGATCTGGAGAATCAGATGGAGGCGCAATCGGAGGCTCACAACCGCCTATCTAATAAGGTGGAGGAAGTATGGGATAAGATGCAAGAATATGAGGCCAAAATTGCGGACTTGGAAGACCGCGCACGCCGCAGTAACCTGAGACTGCGGAACGTGCCTGAAGACATAGGCCCGCAAGAGCTGCAGGCGTACGCAACGGGGCTTTTCCACACAATTGTCCCTGATCTGCCACAGAGTGTCCTGCTGTTGGATCGCATCCACAGAGTGGCCAAGCCCCAATACCTACCTGCTGATACGCCAAGAGATATCGTCTTAAAGATGCATTACTACCATGCAAAGGAGGCGGTCTTGAGAGCGAGCCGCACACGAAAAGACATACCTACTGAATTCCAAAAGGTGGGAATCTTCGCGGACATCTCTGCTATGACGCTGAGGAAGAGAAAGACTTTTGGCGCTATCACAGCGGCTCTGCGAGACAGCAACATCGCATACAGGTGGGGATATCCAACCAAGTTGCTGGTCCAACGCAACGGCACCCTTACAGCCATCACATCCCCAGAGGAAGGTCTCCTGAAGCTGAGAGAATGGGGCATCACCCCGCGCCCAGAACCACAGAGGCCTGCATCGCACGAGCGACACACCTCCACATGGAAGCGGGTGCGAAAATAGCCCTGGACGGGGAACAAATACGAACTTTTCAAGTCGCCCGCAAGTATACAGTATGCTGCATCACGCAATGCAAAATAGCCATGTTAGGCATATTGTTTGATTTTGGTGTGATTTAATGTTAGACTATCCAAGCCAGACTAGGGGTATGATAACCAGGGAGCAATTGAGGTCAGATAGCCAGACAAAGTTATAACCAGATATTTAAGGGTCATGTGTAGACCTAAGCTAAGTCCGCACAGAGTTAGGGATAACCTCTCCCAACGGTGTTAATGCCAAGTTAAAAAAAAAATAAAAAAATATATCAAGTATAACAATGCAATAATACCACACCCCCAATAAAAAGTCTTACCAAGCCCCAAAGACCAAATACGCCTAATAATGTAGAGCGATGGCTCACTAAAGAGTGTTAGCTAATAAGAAGACGGCATAACAGTGCAAATTGGGTCAATCACCATGTTAAAAGAAACAAGAGGGCCGCACTCGCGGCAGCACACCCCCCCACGCAGGATCGAAGCATTACGCTCCGACCCCCATGGCTCCCTAAATGGGAACCTTGCCATTATTCTGGCATTTTTGTTTATGATTGTATATAGGTTTGCATTTTATGTAATATTGAGTTCTGTTCTTGTTATGTTTCCCTCCCTTAGCCCCCCTACAACCAATTCGGGCCAAGTGGGTGGCCCGCACGTATTACCTACCATCTACACTGTAGCATCACGAGCGCCTCTCCACTGGATACAAAGCACCGAACAGACATACCTACCAAATACCCGCAGGGGTTATCTTAGTGGGATCTGCCCAGCTCGCCGTAGCTGGGGAGGGCAGAGCCCCATCATAGACCAATACATATCAAACTCTCACAATACCTTCCCATACAAACCACCTTAAGCTTTACAGCCACAATGTAAGGGGACTCAATCTCCCGGTCCAACGACACCTTCTTAGCAGGGATGTAGGTAAAGCGGATGCGGACATCGTGTGTTTACAGGAAACACATTTCAGGGGCACGTCCCATCCCAGCATCCTGACCAACTCCTACCCTCACCAGTTCCACTCTACGTCCACGACCAAATCCAAGGGAGTCACCACCCTGCTCAGTAAAAAAGTCGCTTTCACTCTGATCACTGAGGACACCGACCCAGAAGGCAGATACGTTATAATAGTGGGACACATAAATAATATACTATATACCATAGTGAATATATATGCCCCAAACACCAACCAGAGGAATTTCATACACAGAATGATACACAAAATCTCTCGCATCCAACAAGGCACTACAATTATATGTGGGGACCTGAACCATGTCCTAAACCCAGCTGTAGACACTACTCTCTCCCGAACCAGCCCGCGATATAAATCACTTAAGCGCCAAAGCGCGGCCCTGACCAAATTACTGTCAATGCATCACTACTATGATGCATGGAGAGTCACGCACACAGAAGACAAAGAGTACACCCACCACTCGCAGGTTCATAATACATACTCGAGAATCGACGCGATCCTAGTGGAGGGAACCACACTAGGGCAGGTAGTGGACTGTCGGGTGGGACAGATAGTGTGGTCTGACCATGCCCCTATAGAACTAATCTTGAGGGACACTTATGACTTCAAACATAGGAGCCCCTGGCGGCTTAACGAGACCCTCCTGACAGACAAAACCTTCTCGGGAACGCTAGCGGAGTCCCTACAAACTTATTTTACAGACAATGCCAACCCCGACTTACAACACCACACAATTTGGCAAGCACATAAGGCAGTTGCCCGTGGACTCCTTATAAAACAAGCATCATACATTAAAAGGAAGACACAGACACAAGTGACGAAGTGGCAGAAAGACATTTACACACTGACGATACAAAATCAACTTCACCCCACACAACAGCTAAAAGAACAAATAGCCCTAGTGCGCCATCAACTTCGCCAACATGCGCTAACTAAAGTAGGACACAACTTATGGAAATTGAAAGCCTCACACTACGCCCAGGGG